TTATTACATGTATCAATCGAAAATTTGTCATTGTTTGTAATTTGGAATGCAAAACGAAATTGCATTTATAGAAAAATATTACAGATTTCTGAAGATGATGCTTTAATTTACTGAAGAATTGATTGTTTGTATTCGTATTGGAGAGTACATGCCTATTTCATAATTTCTTGTCTTAAACATTTGGTAAAGTGATTTTCCATCAAGTGTTCATCATATCCTGTGTTTATAATGGCCTTTCCAACAATTTTCTAAATTTCTTCTAAATTTTATATATTCATTGATCGTAATAAAGCACATTATTATAGAGTGCATGATAATTAATCGTAATGAATTCAAAAAGAAATTCATCTTTCTACATACTTTCTGTAATAATTCGAAATAAATTTGAGAATTGGAAGATGAATGAATCAGAATCTTCTTAAATTTTATATTAAGAAATCTAGTTGAGATAACTCTTTGATATAATTATTATAATTAATATAATATTATTCTGATAACAATAAGAAATCTAATAGATCTTACCAGAAATATTGTATCAATCAGAATTTCAGATTATCTCAATTATCTCAACTAGAATTCTAATAAACTTTCTCGACTTTTGATGGCACTCGATTTCAACCACAAATTCTTTTCTGTGTAACTAATAATCTTTGTTAAATATAATATTCATTGATCATTACCATAATATCGGTGATAATTAATCTTAATTTCTTCTTTGGAAAGTGGAATCGTAATCGACATATATTCAAACTTTAATCATTGGATACCACACATCAAAATTTGTCTCTTGTGATAAGAATTGCGTGAAATTCCAAAATACAGATACGTCGAGCTGACGATTCATCATCAAATGAAATGCATCATCAATGATTTTAGCACAATTGATAACACTTATATTCTCATAATGTCCAGCAAAATATTTAAATATTTTGTAATGATGCCCCGGATTAATAAATCACATTTGATTATAGTAGTATCCTATTCAGTTAAAAAAAAAGTACTTTATTAAACTGTATTATAAATTTTATGAGATTGACACTGAGAGAAATACTTCTCTCATTTTTTTATTTTATCTTCTTTCTCACATTAAAAGGAATTCATACATACATATGAAGAAGATGCATTCGTACGTTTCATATGTTTAAAACACTCATCATGCATACTTTCATTATTAGTGCAACGTCAAATATCCGACTTAATGTGCAAATATTTGCAGAAATATCTTTTACTATTTTTTATAATTACATAAAAAGTGTAGAATTTTTCCCAACTAAACTTTTCCTTCCTTTTCTTTCATAATATTCATATATGTAAATTTGTACTGAAAGATTATTTAATTGTTATTACCTTTTATGTAGCGAGGAAAACTGAAAATTAATGTCTGATAGGCTAATGATTTCCACAGGATTCATATTAAAATGAGAATTCAGATGAAGAGATTCGTATTGATTCTGAATTATGAAGAGATCCAAAATTACAGAATTATTGAAGCTCTAAAATTAAAATTTCATAATTATGCATAAACGTTAAGATAAAAAATATGTCCGCATTGGGAGCTAATAACATATTATTACAGCTAATAACGTATTATTATACATTATATACATGTACATGTTTGTGCATTATTATTAAAATTATTTTTTACAGTTTTCATAATTCAGTTTAGAAATCTAACCCGTGTGAATCCATTTATTAAAATATGTTTTCACATAATTATCATATTATATGCCTTAAATTGTAATATTTTTTTAACATTTAATTGAAAAAATTTTTAGGAGTTTTTTTTACAAAAATTTTTATATAATATTATTGTTCCTATTTAAAAGTATATTGTCACAAATTTCAGATAATATATAGATTTTGAAAAAGATGATCTCGGATCTAAGTTTCAAATATAAAAATGGTATACATTGCAGAGATATATTTTTCATATATTGCGATATTAATAAATATAAAAACCTTAGCAACAGCTTCTTCTCTGAACATAGTAGTAAAACCGTCGTGTAATCATCAATGAAACCACCAACTTCTACGCATAACTGTATCCAATGTTTCATTATAAATAAGATTGGCTTCCCTAAAAATTATTATAATTAATCTAACATGCAATATTAATAATATTAATTAATATTAATAATATAATT